AAGGGCGGTGTGAAACGACCCTTGTGGAAAAGCACGACGTTGCCGATGTCCTCTTCCTAGGGAATTTTACCCCCGTTTCGGGGTGCGGTAGGGTCTTCGCCTTTTTGAAGCACACGTACACGCGCGACAAGGCTCTCCGCCTCCCGACGGGGAAAGGCATCCCACTCAACAAGGCTCGCCCCACCCCGCAAGGGACCTGGCCACAGTCACGCAAGAGTTCTATACGTCTCAACAATTCTAAAGCAAATGAAGCTGACGCTCATCGTCTGATGGAAAGTACTTAGAATTCAAAATAAATTGCAGTTCGTGTCATTTACCTAAATAGGATAAACCAAGAAGTGAGGGAAAATGTTCGAATTTTATAAAAAGCGCAAAGGTGTGCATAATGCAATGGCCACATTATATGAGGTTTAGTCAGAAAAAAATACTGACCATATACCTGTACATACTGATACTTTCTTAATATTTCGATTACAAATATTAAAATATATATATATTGAATCTTCTTTCAGTTTTCAAGGTAGGATTTAAAACTTATTGCTAACTATAAATAAAGCATAGGGATAATATCTATATGTTAGAGTTAAGCTAGTTCCTTCATGAATTCTTGCGCTATTCTAAAATTATACCTGACTATGATCACTGCTTTGATTAAAAAATAACAAATAAAGTCCACACTCCTCAGTTTAAGATACTATGTACAGTATGATGAAGCAATAGAAACGAAAAAAAGAAAATCAAATAACAGATTAACACCTGTATGGTGTTATCTATTCAGGTATATAAAATGTAAGAGTGACATAAATAACCTTCATCCGTTGTGAATATTTCCTTAAAAAAATCTCAGTAAAAAAACATTTCGTATTACAAAAGCAATAGGTAGACAACACCTAAAAGTAATTCTAATGGGGCTGGATTATGCATCGAAAAGAAATATCTAATACGCATAAAGTAGAAAATTGAATTAACTTATATATTTTGGACCTTTTTTATGATTCCTTCAAATGGAAAGCTACAGTTAGAGTTGTAAGAGGTTTTAAGTATGTCCTTATCGGTAGATAGAAACAATGGTATAGATTCCAGGTACTTCTCGTTCTGTTGCAATATCTCTGCATCATAAACCATCGGCATGAACCACGGTGCACCTACGGAGGCATACTCGAGTTTTTTGACCTTGGTATAACCATACTCGAGATCGGACGCATGCAAAATTACCGGGAACGTATGACGCGTCGTGTCGTTGACGGTGTCGATGGGCCTCAGCTTGGACGCAAAAAGCGGTGGCGTGAGGCTGATGAAGGTTGTCTCAGAAGTCCTTTCCCCGTCCACCCACTTGGGTACGGCAAGCCTCGTGTAAATCTCCTTACCGTGTGCGGCGTACGCTCGCTTATAAAGGTCCTCTGCAAAGCGACTGACATTCTCGATTCCATCCATCTCGTGTGAGTGCAGGTGTTCAAGCCCGTCTGACGGTAGGTACTTCGCCCAGAGCTCATCGTGAATTTCGGTTCGGTGTATGAATTTGAGCGCAATAACCGCCGAAAGCGCATTGGCGTAGTCTAACCCGAGGAAACCGGCGCGGATACCGTAAGTGGACCGCGCCGCCTGCCGCTCATGCAACGACATCGAGAAAACGTCCTGCTCAACTTCCCACGTTAAAAGATTCAGATGAAAGAGTGAAATGATGGACTGATCGCAATACCATCCTCTCTGGGAACTATATGGTGGTATGTGTGTCTCCGTTAACTTTTTAGCCTTCTCGAGATATTCCCTGTATGCCCACAGACGGGCTATTATAACACCAGAGTTGAGATGGCGATATGGGGATTGGTCAAAAGGCAAAACAAGCTTATGCTCCGGATGTGCGGCCGCATGCGCACGAACCTTTTCATAAACCACTTCATAGCTAACTCTACAATCCTTATGGTCAAAGTATAAATTCGGTGCCCAGCAACAATCCTCCGCGAGCGCTACGATCGGTGCCATCGCACGGTCTTGCCGAACGGCCAGTGCATCCAGCTCCTCCGGCGTCGCGGCGGACTGTGAAATGAAACGATCGAGGAATGGATGAATGTCCACACCCGTAAAAAGAGTGTCGGAATCCATTAAAATAGCAACATCATCCGGATTCAGATGCGCATTCTTGATGGCACTTTCCGCGAAGTCGAGCTTGGATGAAAGCCTATTGAACGGCATTTGATAGCCGGCTACCACCACGGGAAACCCGCTTAGGTAGGCTGAGCCCACTGAATAGCAAATGGTATTATCAATTTTATCACTCACAATGAAGATAACGACGCGAGGCCCTGTGGTTCGAACAAAGATATCCTGCAAGACATCTTTGGAAAATACCGAGGGTTCAGAGGAGATCGGTTTCGAGTCACCAACGTAAAATAGCCAAAGGACTATGAAAAGTGTGCCGATTAATCCAACGATAGGCGACCGCCGGAGAAGAGCCCTAAATTTATTACTTTTACACTGCTTTTGTGTAAAGGATTTTAATGATGTCATTGCTTTAGTCCACTTCTTTGTAAGGCTTTTATAAATATTATTTTTATGTCTGTAAATAAAACAAATACGATGAGAGTTATCGAAGTATCTAAATTTCAAATGGAATAAAAAGAGAAAGAGGATAAAAATGGAAGATAGCTATAGTAGAAGTTTGACAAATAGTCTGTACATCGTCACACATTTTAAATTTTCCTAAAATGCTTCTCAGTCGCAAATGATGTTTGTCAGTGAGTTCCTCCTACCTGGTGACACGTGCAGTAGCATCTCGCAAAGAGATCCTGAACTGAGATACTCATGAAAGGATAAAAAAAAGGGTGAACCACGGAGGCTAGAAAAGGGCGATGCGGATTCAGCCCAAGAGCATGAAAGATTCCCAGTACAAGCAGTGAAAGAAGGTCTAGTTGCACGATTGAGAAACTTGAAAAGGGTTCAAAGTGTGTACCGGTTCAACTAAACGCATCGCGATCTTTTCATCCTTTAGGCGCCTCTTCTGTGAGATTTCTCCTTCTTCACAAGCAGCCCAGACGCTTCACAGAATTAAAAAAATTCACGTAAATCCAATGCTCGCGTCTCAGTTTCGTACCTTGAAGCTGAGTTCTTGGAATAGAAAAAGCTGTCATTCTCTGGGCGACATCGTGAAGTACGAGCCCCTGCACAGTGTGGCGGCCCTTTGTACAAATCGCATTCAAAACGACTATAATGTCCTAGTTGTTTTTAGGTGGATCCTTCAGTGTATTGTAGTATTGCCCCTATTGAATAAAGACAAACACGTTTGAGAGAAGAGACGCATGAGGTGGTATTTTTATATTTTGGAGAAACCTAACACATAAATTGCTTCCTCAGATAGCTTTGAATTGTAGGAAAAGAAGCCAGCTCTCTTATTTTTACTTCCACATGACTAAGGAAAAATACAGGTATCGCTTTAAAGAATAAAACGCTATTGAATTCTTTATATTTATTGTTCAACATTAATCACTATATTAAGACTTG